GACAAATCCATGTGCTTAAAGGGAGGTGACTCGGGAGAGAGTCCCCCACCTCTTTTTATTTCCTCTGCCTTTCCTCCTTCTTCTGCCTGCAGTGTGTCTCTGTTGGCTGGAGCTCCAGTAGCCCTTTGGGATCACGAGGTAACTTTGAGCGTGGCAGCCATGAGCTAGGATAGTGGGATGGAAAGACAGAAGCCGAGGTCCCTGATAACACCATGGAGCCACTAGAGCAACCCTGGACATCCTACCTCCGGGACATGATTTAGCTTTGAGAGATATAAACTTCTATTTTGTTTAAGTTATTTTCCTTTGTATTTCAACTATACACAACACAAAGTGTAATCCTAAGTGATATCCATGCCGAATTTAATAGTGGATATCTCAGGGGAGTGAGATTGGAAGCGCGTGTGATGGAAGATGATGGGTTGTTATCAAATTTCTTCTTTATATTTCATACTACTTGACATCTTAAAACAAGAACAAATGACTTGTATAATTTAAATTAAAGACTATCAATGGGGGCCTGGGTGGCTCCGTCGGTTAAGCATCTGACTCTTGATTTCAGGTCGGGTCGTGATCTCAGGGTCATGAAATCGAGCCCTGCCATGGCTCCGCTCCATGATGGGCTGGGTGTGGAGGCTGCTTAAGATTCTCTCTCTCTCTCTCCCTCTCCCTCAGCTCCTTCCCCTGGCTCGCAGGGCGTGAGCATGCTCATGCATGTTGCATGCTCTCTCTCCCTCTCTCTCTCTCAAAATAAAAAAAATTAGAAAAAGACTATCTAAACAAGTTTTAAAAAGAAGAGAAAAGAAAACTTTCCAAGTATATATGATGTATCAGATGTCAGGACTGGGAACCTGCTCTCCCATTTCATAAATGAGAAAACTGAGGCCTGGAGTTCATACAGTGAGTCAGTGGTGGGGCTAGAACTAGAGCCCAGTCTTTGGACTCCCAGGCCAGTGCTCTTCCTTTCATAGCATAACAGAGTATTTCAAAATGTGAGACCCTGAGAAACCTGAAGTTTGGCAGAAACAAAGCAGCAATAGCCTGGTTTCTGCGTGTGGTATCTAGGTGGTTAATTAAAAAAAAATGGTGTCTAGACACAAGATGAGAAACAGGCTTGAATCCAGATGAACTAATGGTTTTGTTCTAGAGCCTTCTTATGTAAGACTTGGCATTGTCTTCGTAGCTAAAACCTGCCTACTGATTTAGACATGTGACAAGCTTCCAAACATTAGAAACCTTTTATTTTCTGACTTGTCACAGAGAAAAAAGAACATCCCATCCAAAGCCTGAAATGAGCACTTCCCTCCCTCCTCACTAAAGGAATATTTAAAATTCTCAAGTGTGAAATTACAAGTAAAATTAGATGATTAAACAGTCTGACATAAATTGAACAGAATGTAATCTTAAGCACTTACAAAAGGAAATATAGTCTTCTTTCATTTCCCAAAATGGCAGGCAGCTTAGGATCATATTTTTGAACTGTGATTTCCTACACATTTATGAAGTTGTGTTTTGTTCTCAGTAGATTTTAGCCTCCTAGAAAATGATTTGCATAATGCTTTTTTGCTCAACTGTGGAAACTTAAGTAAGCAAAAAGATAGGACTCTTTCAAGGTTAAAATATAGAAGTTAAGACAAAAATAATTTGAGTACACTCTGATTCAATGCCTTCATTACATGAATCCCCGCTGCCTACTCTGCATAGCCCAGTGATTGGACTTGACCATTCTACCTACTCCTTTATTAACTCGGGCATCCCTCATCTGCACACCTCTTGCCCACTTCAAACAAAGTTGAGAAAGGTTTTATAGAAACTCTGGTGCTTTTTCAAACCATCAGCTCAAAACATGTAAAGAAATGATAGACTTATTTGCAAAACACTGACTTTTCCTAAGTTTCTTTCCCATGCACAAAAATGACAAGAGTTATATATACCTTATTAGAAGTATTTTTTAATTGTTACTTTGTTGAAACTGAGCCTCCCTCTACTATTATCATGGAGAAAACCTCTCTCCATGATTTCTGCAATTCTCGAAAATGGAACTGGCTAAATTTCATTGTCACTAATGCAAGATCAATATCATGTGTTCTATGGAATTCAGAAAAACAAGAAAACACACTGTGCTTATAGTTTTTCTTATTTTCTCTAAAATGTATCCGACTTAATAAACTAAGAAGTTGGAACACAGAGATATAAGTGGTGGCAGCACTTCAACATTTCAGAGAACACATGTCGCTAATGGCCTTTCCACTCATCTCCCTTCACTCACACACATACCTGTGGGACGAGCGCATATTGAACTTGAGTATCAAACACCAGAGCCAATTTATAGCAGGTGATAAGGAAACAGTCTTACCTCTAGAAGCAGTTCATTTTTCAGTGCCAAAAGCAAAGTATTTAGTAGGTATTTTATAGGTCATATATCTAATACACCACAGGACATCTGTAGTTGCTCATACTAAAAGTCCTTCGCCAGGGATGAGTTCACATTCCATGTATATGTGCGTGTGCGTGTGTAATGTGTGTGCATTCATGCACACATAATGTGTTTGTGCACAAAACAATGCCCAGTGGAATATTCTTCAGGAATTCCATAGGCAATAGCTAGGCTGGTTGGCTCCTTCTCTAGGAGACACTCAGGTGAACAACATGTCAGTGCCTTGAGTGCTGAGTTCTAGGCCCAACCAGGAGTTGGCTACGTGACTATGTGATTCCAACTCATTCCCAGCACCACTCTGGCCTCCTGTCTCCCGTCGATCGTCCTGGGATGGCAACACTTCCTGCACACAGCTCTCTGGACTGTCTGGCAGTGAGAATAACTGGGAGCAAGCCCTCTGAAGACTTGTTAGCACTATGACATCAAAGGTGCCCTCATCAAGCACAGACTTAGCGAGAGCAAGTAAGCTCCTCGTCCACTGCTTGACAAGATCACCATAAAACCAATTCAGAGTGATTTCTTAGGCAAGGAGGATGACTTATAAGAAAAGTTCTTGATTAAGTCTCTCTTTTTTTTTTATTTTAAGATTTTATGTATTTATTTGACAGAGAGAGAGAGCACAAGTAGGGGGAGTGGCGGGCAGAGGGAGAGGGAGAAGCAGACTCCCCACCAAGGAAGCCCAATGCGGGACTCGATCCCTGGACCCTGGGATCATGACCCGAGCCGAAGGCAGACGCCTAACCGACTGAGCCACCCAAGCGCCCCTCTTAATTAAGTCTCATTTGGGAAAATGAAACAGGCCCATCATTTTATACTGTCTCTAGGTGCCAACAACATGAAGAAAAAGGGCTAGTGGCTCTGGCAAGCCCTCTTGTTGCCATCCCAGTGTCCCTGGAGGGGCTGCCCCAGAGGCACGGTGGAATGCCTCACCCCTCTCCCCAGCCCACTTAGTGAATCACCGCATTGTAAAGGATTCCAACAGTTTTTACATGAATAAAATAAAAATTAAGTTTCCTGGGCGTATATGGTTTATCACAGTAAGTCTGTGTTAATATTTCCTAATCACAGTGACCTCAGCCTGCCAGAATGCACAGGCCCCTAATCCTCGCCGTAATGTTTCCTCATTAGCTACACAGCATAGCCGCACCAAGTGGCAGCGACCAAGCACCGCCTCAGGCACCACTGGAATTAATTACTAGAAGAAACACTGCTGTTTTGAATTGTCATCTTGAATTTATCACTTGCCACTTAATGTAACTCATCTGACCTACTACCTCCATCGTGTCACCAGGGGCCTTGGCACGGGTTTCACCAGGGTAATAGCAGGGGGGTTCTGTATACCTAATGTGGCTGAGACGCCAAACACACAGCTGCTGGAGGCCTGGTTAAAATCCTACCCCGGAGGCAAAGCATGCTAACAATGCCCCTAGCAAATTGCAGATTACCCATACGTCATGTTCTATCTGAAGCCCAGAGTGATTCCAAGGTAGGCCCGATACATCTAATTTCTGCCGCTTGGAGAAGATAATCTTTCATTTCTTTGGATGTAACTGCCCTCCCCATTTGTTTCTCTCATGCTCTGCTTTTGACCATAATAATGAAACTGGCTATTCATGTATGGAAGGAAAAGTGGCTCTGGGGGGACCTGCGCTGCTAGGGCTGGGGCTCTTCTCTTATAAATTCTGAAGAAATTGCTCATTAAATTACTCACACAAAGAAATGCAATTTCACCATAGGTTATGTTTCCCTAGGAAAAGGAACAGAAGAGTAACCCAAGTGGAAGTCTGTGCTGCACTGTTGCGGGCCTACCGTTGACCCTGTACTTGTGAGAGGTACCCAGCGTAAGCTATTCAAAAATGCACATATAATAAGGAGTTAATGATCTGTTTGGTTTCATTAAGCCTGAGAAATTGTTTCAGGATGAAAAATAAGCTTGCGTGCATGCTCTAAACAAAAGTCCTTTTGATCAGATTTTTCATCTTTAAAAACCATATACTTGAAACCAACGTTTTTTGTTTTCTGCCCATTTTGGATTCACCTAAATGTCATTATTTCTATTTTAAAGTCAGTCTTTCAGTTCTGCTATAGCTTTTACTTCAAAACATGACATACTCATGTATGCAGGTGGATGTGTGCATGTGTATGTCTATAAATACTAGCCCCTGGAAACTTATAGACATAATGACATAATACCATAATGTAAAACCAAAGCATGAAGATCCTACTGATGAAATAATAAGTAAAAGAGATTTACTTTGATAATGACAATTCCTAGCCTATTTCATAGACAAAGACATTTCCTTTGGTTATCACACTCTACACTACGCATAGTAAACTTTGGGAGATGTACAATGCAATATAAACATTAATAGTTACACAATTGTGTTGTTTTAGAAAGACTATTTATAGAGAAAATACAAAATGCCTCCCTAAAGTATACTTAGACCTAAGCCACCATAATCTTCCTGCTCATACAGCAGGAAATCTAATACACCAGCTCAATAAACCTGTAGGAAACAAAGGTTTTATGTAGCATTAAGTGTCACAATATTAAAATGCCCACATTACTTTCAATTGCTCTTATAAGCTTCTTTTTAACAACCCAGAAACTTGAGCGCCATTATGAGAAGAATGTTGTCCTACGTGGTAAACGATAGGGAAGGAGAAACAAAACCCGGGCCTCTTCACCCGAGCTGCTCTCTGATGAATACCACTGGGGGTTTTACCCAAGAGTCTCTCTCCCTCAAAGTCTCCTGTTTTACACCTCTTTGGGTTATTAGGATATGTTCTGTCAAAGGTGACATAGCATTTAAAAAATGGTGTCAGAAAGCCGCGACAGCAGGGCCAGCTCAACCACGTGACCTCTTCCGGAGTCGAATCCCTTTCCTGTAAATGTAACCATGTACAGTATGAGCTATGGAGGCTGTAATTAGAGCCAGTAAAGCCCTTCCAGAATACCAAGTACTGCATTCTGCACATACTCACTACAAATGCTAATGTAACAACAACAAAGATCACCACCCCTAGAAGTATACGTTCCTCCCAAACAGGGACAGTTGCTTTGGTGAGTTCTGCAGAGCGTCTAGCACTCTGTAGCTGCTAATTAATACCTAATGACAATGATGAACCACTGGTGATACTCGGCTAACTAATTGGGGTCTAATCGTATCTCAGAAAGTTTCAACTTAATGACCATTAAAATAGGACATCTTCTATTGCTATTGCACCTGCCAACTCCCCAAACTTTCTACAAATAGAAATTCATTAACTGAAGTTCTTTAATGGAATATTAATGGTACAAAAGTACTTTTTGAAGACTTAAGAAATACCCAGGGTCAATAAACCTACAGCGCCTTTTAAGCAAAAATTTCCCCCTTTTTGTTCCTTGGGCAAGCTCAGGCAAAGGACCCTGCTGGTCCTGTATTTGGGGTTACTGAATCTGAATCCACTGGGCAGTCATTTGCATTTGTGGGGGTGAGCTGAAGGCATTTTCAATAAAATAAAGCCTCTCAGGGTTATGGGAACTATTGGGCTATAGAGACTTCATGATATTCACACATAAGGAAGTGTAATATGTTAAAACACACTTATAAAGCACTGGGGTAGTTTGCATGCAGGTGATGGCAAAAATCCTTCCCCTTCTGTGCAGGTGGTCTAAATACTGCAGCCTACAGGGAGCTCCATGGCCATATCTTACGGAAAACCCTGCGAGCTAGATTACTTTTCCCCACCTTTCTGGGATATCCAACTTGTCACCTTTCAACAGTCCCACACCCATACGAACCCTTTTCGGGCAGGCCTCAATGCAGAAGTTCTGTGACATCTTTTGCTGATCTTTAGATATTTTTAAATTATTAAAATGAAATATTTTAAAATCCTGACTGTTAGCACTAAAAACGTACCGGTGCATTCTGGGAATCAATGGCATTTAGCGCTGCTGCCTTGTAAAAAACCAAATCCTAAATGGTTCATCCTGATGTTATTGGCAGATGTGGTTTTATACTTTTAAATTCCTTGGAGTTGCTGGAAAGGAAAAGAGAACATATAGATATGCCTATGCAGATGAAATGACATCATAAAATACCTGACTGTAAGGACTCTACGCGGCTGGATTACTTGTTATTGAAATAGGGACCCAGAGCAAGGGAGAAAGCGCATCAGGTGCAACTGAATGTTTTCAATTACTTTTTATCGTGCTTGGTCAGTCTCACCACAACATACATATTGGGACGAAAGATTCTTTTACATTCTAAGTGAAAGAAATGCACATGCAGCATTTACTTGGCAAACAGAGACCCTGTTGCCTCTCACCACTCTGCTGAAATCTATCGCAGCACCGGTACGGTCACCAATATGTTATCTTTCTGTCAAATTACTCCCTTTCATCATCATATGCAATTGCATCACGATTAACTATATTAGCCACAGAATCCATGACCTGCATACTCTGAGGCAATACTTGGCACACTGGTATTTAACAACAAAGGTACACCATTTTACTTTCTGGACTGGAAATGCTATAATGGAAGATGGGCCATTTTTGTTTCTTTTCTTATTTATTTATTTATCTATTTATTTATTTTTTATTTTTTAAATAGGCTCCACACCCAGGGTGTAGTCCAATGCGGGGCTTGCCCTCACAACTCAGAGATCAAGACCTGAGCTGAGATTAAGAGTTGGACTCTTAACCCACTGAGCCACCCAGGTGCCCCTTTTGTTTCTTAAGAAATTTCACAACAGTATTAAAATGCCCGTATTATTATAGCTTAAGAACCAGAGACAAAGAAAATATGCCTCTAATGGAAACTAGAACCACAGTGCCAATAAGCCTAATGTAATTCACTGCTCCCACTGGAACCTGCCAGGGCAGGAAGGAGGCATTGGAGGACACAAGCTCAGGACAGGCGCGGAGAAAAGCTGCTCCAGCGAGCAAGGGCCGTTCGGCACGAGGATCCCTGGACACATACCCCTGGCCATGTAGCTTTGCCTTGCCCTGGGTCTCCAAGGGAAGAGCATAGACCCACCACCCCACCTCCCGGCCTGCCCTTTGACTCACTCATATTATCCTATTTGGAGCTAGGAAGAGGGAAATTCCATACAAAATATTTTTCACCACCTGGAAAACAATCTACCCAAAAGCAAATTCCTAGTGCTCCTGACTGCGAGGCTGGGCTCATTGCAGCCATTGTCATGCAAGCACAGTTGTAAGTCATAATGTGGCCTTTAATGACGGAATGATGGACCTGCCAAACACTTGCTCCTGCCATCGACGGCCGGCATTTCCCTGCTGGAGCGCACGGAGACGCCCGTCTGGGAGTTATTAACAGAGCCTCGGCAATTCAGAACCGACTTTAACCTAATCCATATTTGTTGGAGAAAGTCCAACATCAGCTTGGGAAGAGCAGTCACGTGCTTCAGTGACACATTTCAAACAGCACACCCGGAGCATGCTTGGGCAGCTAAGCAATTCACAAATGCAAATAGCTGAAGCACGCTCCTGACGAGATAAAAAGGACAAATCCCTTTTGGCAAAAGACGGGATGTCCTCTTGACCGCGCAGGAAAAGCACCAAAGTCAGAAAGGTACTGATTCCAGAGGCACCGGTTTGGCTTTGGTGAGGGGCCAGAGAGGTATCTCTTGTGGTCTGTTCCAAGCAGGTTGGTGCCATCAGTCTCAAGTCGAACCTTGGACTTTGGCTGTTGTCAGGCAGAGCTGTGTGTCGGGGATGCAGGAATACAGATGCTCTTAAACCAACGCTTGCTTGTTGACACGTGTAGAAGCACAAACCTCTCCCTCGAAAAACACAACAAAGAGCTACGGGTTCCATTTTAACATCATCTCGGGTTTTTGTTCTGAAGGGGTACTTGCTATAAACACAACCCTGGAAGAAGCTTGATGGGTTATGTCCCTAAATGTGAGTCCTCAGGAAATTAAATTATATCAAAATGTCATGTAAGGGCTCTGGAAGTTATCTCCAAACGAGGCACTGGTCTTTGTGCGTATAGTACCATGCCCCGCCCCCTCCCATTGTTTTTCAGTGATTTTAACGTGCTGGAAATACAGTTCATCAACCAAATCCCTTTGGCTGATAGGTATCATTAGTGGTATCTATGCTTTATAAGGGAAATAAATTAAGGACTAAGAAGGGAAAAAAGCATTTCCTTGAGGCCACCACCCATTCCTATTGATGTGGATTTTGGTGAAACTGCAATGAAGCCCTTATTTTTAGATGATGTAAATCAAAGCCAAATGCAGATTCTTCCTTCAAACTTTTAAATAGAGTCACATGGCTGGGTCACTAGATAGTAGTTTTGTACCACTATTAAATTTTCTGCATTTGATAATTATATTGTGGTTATGTGAAAGAATGCTCTTGTTCTTAATAGATACATGCTGAAGTATTTAGGGATAAAGGGTTACGATATTTGCAACTTTCTCTTAAATAATCCAGCAAGGAAAATAACCATAATGACTATACGCACCCTGAAAGAGGAAACAAATGTGGCAAAAGGTACAGTCGATGAACCTAGGTGAAGGACGTATGTGTATTCCTTATACCATTTTGGCCACTTCTTGGTAGGTGTGAGATTTTTCAAAACAAAATAAAATTTTGGAAATAAAATAAATTAGACTCACAGACACTACGTTGGAATTTTAAAAAAGAGAATCCACTGCTTGGAAACCTTCTCTTGTTTACTATTCTTTGCTTAATGATAACATTTTGTATCAGGGTAGGACGTCCTGGAAGGAGAAGAAGATAGAGAGGAAAAAAAACGGAAGGGCAATACTCTACTGAGGGATAGAAGAATGAGGTAGACAGAAAATGAAAGGAGTAAGATCGGAGGGAAGAGAATATTGAAAAAAGGAGAAAGGATACCTTAGTGCAGGTCAGAGCCAGAAGATCAGGAGCAGCCAGGGGCGATGGCCTGAGGCTGGGAAGAAGATGGCAGTGGTCTTTGGACAAAGATCTTACCTGCAGGGGAGAGAGAATGAAAACATCTCATTCTTTCCCTGGAACAGAAGAGGATTGGGCAGCCCAGCTGCTAATGGCACATGCCCTTCCTTCCCTGAGGAGTGGAACTCAGCCACAAGGCACCTGGAGGCTAGCCTGAGCCTTGGGCCACAGGGCTGGACGCAGTGCTGCAAAGCGTGTGCGCCCCACACTCCGCCCTGGTGGGGAAACCCATCAGACCCTAGGACCCGAGGGGTAGGGCTGGGTCGGGGCTTGGTCTTTAGCATTTTGATATGTCTCTACCTTTGTGGTTTGGGGAATGCTGTGAAAGCTTTGATTGTAATTATAAAAATTATAAAATAGCAAATCATTTGCCTTCATTGGAGTATGTACAGTTTTCAATTCATCCCCGTGAGCTACAGAAAATGATGGTGGTGAAAGAGGTCACTGTAATTATTCAGCCTAGGTTAGGAGCTGAGATATGCCCAGAAAAAGTGTCCATACGGTGAGTAGCCATCAGACCAGGAAGAGGTACAGATATAAAAACCAGGGGGAAGGGAAAGACAGGGACGGATAGGGAGCACGTGGGCAAGGGGTCTGATGCATGGGAGTGATATAGTACAGTTGTGGTCCTCCCGTTCTAATTATGGCTACACCCGACTGGCTAGGTCACTCTAACAAGCCACCCCCCTGAAGAGCAGCTTCAGGGAACTCCTTTGCCTCTGAATTCTGTGAGGGAACCCTCCATTGTTGGCTCAGCCTCAGAGCCCAGAAATTCCTATGGGCTGATCCCAACAAAGCCAAGGGAGCCAAAGTCTTTTTTGGTCTTGAAATAAATTGAAGTGGGAGGAAGCTTAAAGAAGCTGCTTGCCTTTGTCTTGTTTGTCATATCCTTCCACAGTCACTAAATAGTTTGCTCCTAGGGAAAGAAAGAACCTCAGAGTTTCTTTTTTTTTTCTTTTTTAATATTTTACACATTCAACTGATAGAGAGGGAGGGTGTGCATGTGCACAAGTGGTGGGAGGGGCAGAGGGAGAGGGAGAAGCAGACCCCTGGCTGAGCAGGGAGCCCAATGTGGGGCTCGATCCCAGGACCTTGGGATCATGACCTGAGCTGAAGGCAGACGTTAACCAATTGAGCCACCCAGGCACCCCTCAAACAGAGTTTCAAAATTCACTGTCAAGGTCAACTAACCAGCGCTGAGAAAAAGACCCCATGAGTTCATAGACCCACAAGCAGAGAAACACTGGGTCTAAGTCACCTTCCTATAACTCACACTGGTCCCTGCTCTGAGCATCATGATATCTTTCTGTCATCTTCTGGTTTTCTGCTCCCCTTGACATTCATTTTAATTTGATCTTCCTTATAGAAAAATATTAGGGGTTGGAGAGTAAGATTTGTCTGGGCTCCTGCAATGTCCTGGAGATGGCCCCAGGCAGAGAGGCATGGGATTCTGAGCGAGTCTGCTCAGGGATCCGTCCCAGAGCTGTGTCATCTGCGGTTTTCCCCTGTGGAGTTCAGGACATTTGGCTTCTTTGATGCAGTGGTGTTTTGCACAGAGCATTCAGTAGGACGGAGACAGTGGAGTTTCCATGTGGGCTCTGAGGAAAATGCCAAATGTCTAATATAAAAGCATAGTCTGAGAATTGACCAGAGCACATTAAAAGTTATATCCTAGGGAAATCATGTTTGTTCTTTTAAATATGGCAACTCTTCAGCCAAAAGCAGCAAATGAAGTGCCTGCTTCTTCACGTGGTGGGAAGGGTTGCTCAGTTCACACTGTGAGGCAGATGTATATAGAATATTGCTGATTCAGGCTAAATTGCTACCTCATTAGGGTTATTTGGTATTTTATTTGAAACCTGAATTTCTCACAAAACCATAACAGAGGGGGAAATACAGTTGCCTGAAGTAAGAAGAGACGTCACTGCCATGACTTCACCACACACCAACATTTCTGAGCTCAAACATCCTTCCTGCTCCTCTCCCACACTTCACCCTGGTTTGGCTGCATTTCCCTTCATGGTCCTATGGAAGACTTATTCCTACAGACATCTCCTAGAGCCTGAGCCATGGGTGTTCATACTTTCAGACTGGCAGTGTTGAAATAAAACCTACATCTAAGAGAGCAACCTAACAGCAGACATCATAGTTCCCATCTATTTAATCATGGAACCTGGAGTCCTAAGAGAACAATACGCAGGAAAGTGGAGACGTTGGATGGTTGGGAAAGACCTCGAATATGGAATTCTGATGGACCAAAGCAATCTGGATGATGCAGAGAGTTCTGCAAGGGGGTCAAAATGAGCACCGAAGATTGACTTTTGGGAGTGTCCATTGCTCATTTCCAGCCCTACAGAGCAACACCTTGGTATTTCTCCCCACAGGCATTGCACTGAGCCACATTTGAGAATTCAAGGTGTAATTTATCAGCCATGCTTTGGAACAAACCAGAGTGGGGTGGTAGTATCTGGGAAAGTCAGATATAGACCACATAAGGGGCAATTTACTGTAATATCTAAGATAATGCTGTTTTAGTGGCTTGTGTGCCCTCCAACTATAACAGCAGGGTGACATAAAGTCAAAGAAGTGAGAAATCAATTTGTAAGGCATCATTCTACTCCTGCTTCTTCAAGGACATGGGCCCAACTCTCCACTTCTTGCAATAACCAATTCCGTCACCGTATTGAGGAGCTGGGATCCACAACTCCTCTAGGTGTGGTGTCTTCTCTTGGGGCTAAAGCCACACCAAAGGGCAGGGAGATGCCACTTCTCCTCTACAGCTACTGAATCTGTCTCTTTTCCCTGTCCTCTCATGAGGAACTGATGGCAGCTTCTGCCCCCTGTTTCTCCCTGTATTTGACAACTAGTCCCCCGTAGCAGGCAAAATAGACCAGGTCAGTGGCCTGAAACTTTAGCCACATCAGAAGCCCCTGGAGGGCTTATTAGCCCCCAGGTTGTCGGGCCCTGCCCCGGAGTTTCTAACTCAATGGGTCTAGGGTGGGGCTGAGCATGCATTTCTTGAGTTCCCCAGCAGTGCTGATGGTGACGGTCTGTGGACTACATGTTGAAACTGCTGGGGTAGGCTACGCTGTGGTAACAAATGGCCCCTGAATCTCAGGGGTATTTTCCACTCACATCCCATGTCTGTCACAGGCCAGCTGCAACTCTG